ATCTTGAGAAAAATTATTTTTTTGTGAGCAATGATCTAAGCCTTTACATTGATCTCTGTTTGCACCCATCTTGTTAGGTTTGTTTCAACGTTCCGGATTGTCTAGATTTTTTTTTTTGAATCCTTGGCTGGGTCATACAACCTGTTAGCTAACCATCCTAGCTTTGAAGCTTCCACACATTTGGTAAGCATATCATCGGTGCCTTTTTCTAATGTTTAGTAGCAAAGAGCCAAGGACATCTCACTGGGCACTCCACAAGAGACCTTCTTTGTCTCTTTGTGTTTTGTTTTGCAATTTTGCAACTCGATAGTGAGTATTGGGGGGCAGGGTGCTAAAGTCCTTCCTTACTAGTTCATGTAGGCTGGCTGATTATGTAAATGAAAGGAGGTAGGGAATAAAAATCTGTGGGTCCATGCCCAGGGGTCAGGTGGGTCACATCTGGCTGTCTTTTGGTACCTGGGTTTATTCACTTCCCCCCACCCCATTCAGCCTGGTTTCCCTTCACAGGGTGTATTGTATCACACCATGGCTCATGCTGCTTGCCAGCCTACCATCCTTTATATATTCATCTCACTTCCTCTAAGAAGCCTTCCTTGACTAAACCTCCATTGCTGTCTCCTCAGCTCTTATATATACAGTTTGCATCATGGTTAAACATTTTATGAAGTATTGCCTTAAAAATGCTCTGGAGTTAATCCGTATATGTCAATTTTCCCCATTTAAATGATAATCCTCTAAGGGAGGTGATTACATTTTACTGTTCTGTGCATCACTCTGTGTAAATTCAGGGGGCTAAGAATGAAATGCTGTACCGATTATATTGTATTGTGCTGTGTTATGTTGCATTGCATTGTATTATCTCACCTCCTTGTTCTCTCGGTGCTTCTCATCCTTCAAGCTAAACTCAGATATTCTGAGAACCAGCTTCCTTGGGTGGTTGAGGGGGTAGTGCTGAGGGTTCCAAGATGGGACCAATAGTTCAGAAGGATGGCCAGGACCATACTATTCTGAATTTTAGAAAACCACACTTGATTCTGGGGGTGGTCTCAATTTGAGAAGATAAAAACCCACCCACATCTTGGGTGTTTTTGAGCCCCTTCTTAACTATCCAGCTCCTTTCCTTTGTGCCTTGGTCACAAACATGGCTTCTTAACAAAACACAAAATTTAAGGTCTGTTGGCCTGGGCCTGAATAAGGAGGATGGCTGCACATGATCTGTTAGGGCCTCTTTTTGGTGCTGGGGAAAGTGTCAGAAGACCTGAGATTGAATTCAGACTCTGCCATTTACTATCTGTATGACTGAGTAATTCACTTGACCTCTTGGCCTTAGTTCCACCCTTCGGTAAAATTAAGCAGCTGAACTGGAATGACCTCAGAGGTTATCATTTAGACCCAACTTTCCAGTTCTAAATCTATGATCCTGTGATTTTGTGATGGTAATGATACTGACTCCTACTGTGTCATCAGCCTCTCCAACCATTTATCTCCCCTTTCTCACTGCTACGGGCTGTCCATTCCTGGCCTGTTGGCCAGCAATGGGCGTTTGGTGCAGCTAGACCTAGCAAATCAGCTACCTCTTGCCTTGAGCTACTCAACTAACTCATATGATCTTCTGTGACTTCATGGGCAGGACCATGAGCTAGGATGATTACATTACAGGGGATTTCTTGGCAGAGATTGGGGTGGGGATGCCAACAATGTGTATATATGAGGATTTCTGCAAAGCATTGGACTTGAAATATCTTTGTGGACATGAAGGAAAGAAAGAGATTGAATGACAGAACAAGAACAGTTATGTGGGTTTCGAACTCTTGACTGACCCAACCCAATGAGTTGAGTGCTGATGAGTGGACCACATCCCTTGGAGGGAGGTCTCTGGAGGAATAACACACAGCTGTCTGTATTCTCTTATCAATGAGACTGACTAAAGACATAGATGTCTGGCTTATTAAATCTGTGGATGACTAATAGGGATAGATGATACATTGATGATGGAATTAGGATACAAAAAGATTTCAACAGGATGAAAAGAGGCTAAAAGTGGATGATGAAATTTAATAGGAATAATGTAAAGTATTGCACTCAATTCAAATAATCAAATCTACAACTAAAGGATGCAGGAGATGTAGTTAGAAATTGAGTAGCCATTAGGAAATCTTATGCTAGGGGCAAAGTCATTTGTGCGGTAAAGAGCAGTGACATAGAGGACAGTTTGATCTCAAGCACAGGAGATTTGGGGAGGAAGGACAGAGAGAAAAGGGGGAGCCCTTTGGGGGCACCACAGTGGCAGGACCTAGGAGCTATGTCCCAGGGAAGGCAGAGATATTCAAGAGAAGCTTTGCCCTCCCTTCTCACCTGCTCTTCCTGGCTGCTTTCAAGTCTCAGCTCAAATCTCACCTTTTACAAGAGACCTTTCCCAGTCCCTCATCCTCCATTACCACCTATTTACATTGTATAAATTCTGTGTGCTTGTAGGTGTTTATCTGGGAATTACAATGTGAACTTCTTGACTTTCTTTTATACTCTCTCCCCTCAGCACAGTGCTTGGCACACTCTAAGTAAGCACTGTATTCTTTCTACACAGTAAAGCAATGCTTGTTGGCTGACCTGGGTTCTCAAGTCAGCCAGGAAACCAAGCCTTTGGTTGCCTTTCTGGCTTGAAATCCATTCATGCGAAAAAGATCTAGGTATTTTAATGAATTGCAGGTTCAAAATGTGGTAGCCAAAAACTACTAATTTGATCTTAGGTATCATTAATGGAAGCATAGCATCTGAAATGAGTGAGTAAGCTATCCTGCTGCCCTCTGACCTGGAGTATTGTGTTCAATTCTGGATGCCGTTTTTTAGAAGGGGTATTGACAAGGTGGAATCTGTCCAGAAGAGGGCCACCAGGATAGAGTTGACTTGATGGCCATGCCATTTGATAAGTTTAAAGAAACTGAGGATGTATGAGTTGGAGAAAAGAAAACTGGGAGTGGAGGTGAGGTGGGGATAACAGCTGTCTTCAAATATTTGAAAGGCTGTTGTTTAGAAGAAGGATTAGTCTTGTCCTGCTTGGCCACAGAGGACATGACTAGGAAAAGACCACGGAAACCATAGGGAGGCAAATTTTGGCTCAGTGTAAGGAAGAACTGCCTAACAATTAGAATTGACTCTAAACAGAATAGATGGCTTTATGAAGTGGTGAGTTCCCCAACACTGGATGCATTTGAGCAGAGGCTGGGTGGCCATCTGTTAGGTATGTTATAGAAGATAACTCTGTCCTGGTGTTGGTTAGACTAGCTGGTTTCTGGGGTTCCTTCCAAGTCTGAGATTCTATGATACCTCTAAGGGGCTTTGACCAGAAACATCACTGCTTAGCGCAGTGCTTGGCACATACTCAGTGCTTAATAAATGCTTGTTGGCTGTCTTATTACACTAGACCTTCCTCTCTTCCCTTCCTTGCTGTCTATATTTTAAGCATATTTGCCCAGAGGGAGGGTTCTTAAGATGATGATGATTTCTTGATTTAATCTTCGAATACTTAGATTTATGATTCTAAGAATTAATGATTTTAGTTCCAAATTAAATAGACAGCCCATTCTATGAGGCTATCCCTCCTTAATTCCAAGGAGTCAGTAAAAAGAAATTATTAAGTGTTTACTATGGGCTAGGTTCTGGGGATACCAAGAAAAGCAAAATCCTACCCTCTGGGAAGAGAGACAGTCAGAGAAACTTGTTGAGGGCTGGGGGTAAGGGGTGAGATCAAATTTAGCCAGACCTCAGAAACCAGAAAAGAGAGAAGAGGTAAGGCTGGACACTAACACTGCGCTCTCTGCCCTTCCACATAACTGCAAACCTCCCTCTCTCAGCTCTGCTCCCGCAAACTGGAAACTAGACACTATCCCACACAAAAACGACTTCTAGGCAGAAAGCTGACTGATGGCTTTACACTGCCACCTGGTGGCCAATATGGTACAAAGCTGAAAGAAGGGGCCGTCAGACACCATGAGATGTCTGTCCCATACAGGTGTAGGAGAGGGTACTGAGTCAAATGACTGGCTCTCCCAACCTTCCCCAGTTTCACATCTACAGAGAAGTTCCTCCTTAGCTCTCCACCAAGGACAGGGCTAAAGTGAAAGGTGGTGCTTTTGAATTACACAACAGGTAGAATGATGATACCTGCCCCTACGGTTAGGGATGGTGGGTGACCTGGGCTGGAATCTGTCAGCCAAGTCTACCTATGTGATCCTGGGCAAGTCTTCTTCCCTCTTTGGGCATCAGCTTTTCTCCTCTGTAAACTGAGGGGTGGAGGTGACTTCTAAAGTTCTTTGCCATATTAGAAGATTTTAAGGAGAGATTCAGTACATCCTAACACACAGCTCTACAACTTTCCCCAAGCTCCTAGCCAGCCAGTCCTTGAAATGAAACCCTGATTGTGTATTGCATTTCCAAATATGCTAGAGAGAGGAAGGCATTTTCCCCAATGTAGAGGCCCTTTGGGGGGAATTATATCTCACAACCCCATCCCTGAAATGCCTTAGAAAGCCTAAATGATTGGCTAGCATTAGAGACCCTCTTCCCGACCATCTGGGGAAATAATAATGGCTATCATTTATATAGCTTAAAGGATTTCAGAATTATATAGCTCATAAAGCACTTTACAAACATGATCTTATTTGATCCTCACAACAACCCTGTGATTTAGATTTTATTCTTATCCACATATTACAGTTGAGGAAACTGGAGACAGGCAGCAATTAAGTGATTTGTCCAGGGTCATATAGCTAGTACATGAGGCAAGATTTGAGTTCCAAGCAGTGCGACATCTAGCGGCCTCTAAGAAGAAATCTCCTCCCTTCTGCCCCGTGTCCCAGGCCCCAGGCCCCAGGTCCCTACCAATGGTTGTGATGGTAGAAACAGAGAAGAAGAAGGAGCCTGCTAGTTCCCATCGGCCCATGCTGGTAGTGTTGCTGGGGAAGATGATTCCGAGCTTGTGTTCCCGGATGATCTCCTGTAGGGACAGCAGCCACAGCGATCTCAGGGACTTATTCATGGTGGACCTTCTTTGAAACCATACTCTAGGGCATGCAGTTTTGGAACTCCTACTCTAGATGGCTGGGCGAGTACACATACTAACCCGCATGGCCCACTATCTCCAACTATCCTCTGGACAATTCTACCCAGCAACCCACACTGGCCATCTTCTTGCCATCTGTCCTGCCTGTCTATGGGGGCACCCTCTTCTATGCTATTCTCTGTCTGTCTCTGCCTGTCTCTGTCTCTCTCCTCCTCCTCTTCTCTGCCTTCCCTTCCCCTCTCTCCTTGTTCTGGGAGCTGTAATCGAATCAATACTATTATATTGTAACTGGATCTCAAAACTCAGTATGTCTGCAACTCGGTATGTAGCGTCTTAAAACCATTATGTTAAAAACAGAACTTGTTAATTCATTATCTTCCCTTCCCAAACTCCCCTCTCTTCTGAACTTCCCCATTTACCTTCACAACATCTCTACTAAATACCCACTTTTCTCTTCACTCACACAACCCCAGTGCTAGTCATGTCTCTCATTGCCTCTTGCCTGAACCATTGTAATAGCCTTTTAACTCATCTCCCTGTCTTGCTTCTCTCCACTCAGCTATCCAACTGCTTTTTTTCTTTCTAAAATGCAGATCTGGCCATGCTACCCTCCTTTGTGGTCATCCCTGCCCCCCATGAACTCTACCAGTTCCTAATGCCCTCAGAATATAAAATGCTGTATTTGGCTTTCCAAGCCTGGGTCCTTGCTAAGATCCAGTCTCCATTCTCTCTGATCCAGCTACACAGTTTTACTCACAGTTCTAGAACACCCACCCATCTCCATGGCTTTGCAGTGGCTTTCAGAAAAGCATAATACACTTTTAAGTTTAATCTGCATTGCTAACATTTTCTCCATCACTTTCCAAGTCTAGGCAATCAACAAAATTATAAATCAAACTCAGAATTGTAATGTCTGCCCATTTCCAAGGTGTAAATGGTCACATTAAAAATTTGATGATTGAGTGGTAGAAGCTGGCTACAGTGCGTTCTTGGCTGGCACACAAGCCTACAATGCTTTGCCCTTTCATATCCAATTCTGAGTTTCCCTGGTTTCCTTCAAGATTCAAACCCACGTTCTGCTGGAGACTTTTCCTGACTGCTCCCTCCCCTCTCCGCCAACAGTTCCCAGTGCTTCCCCCTCTGAAATGACGTCCCCTCTATCTGTGTATGTCTTGTGTTGCCTTCTCTATTAGAGTGTGAGCTCCTTGAGGGCAGGGACTGTTTTTGCCTCTCTTTGTCCCCCCAGCACTTAGCACAGTGCTAGGCACATAAAAAAGTGCTTAATAAATGCCTGCTGACTCACTTCTGGACATCTCCTGTCAATTGATACACACAGCTACACTCACCAGCCTTATGACTTACTAGATGAAAATACGCTTTCCTGCCCGCTTTCTTATGTGTTGACTTCCCTATTAGAATATAAACTCCTTTAAGGCAGGAACTGTCTCAAATTTCTATTTGTATTCCCCAGCACATAGTCCTTAATAAGTGCTATTCATTCATTCAGGTACTATATTTCCCCCATTAGAGCGAAGGTTCCCTTACTGCAGAATCTCTTCCTCATTTTTCTTTTTCCCCTTACAACCCATTGGAACAATGGTGTTTCTCTTACTGAAAGGACATGTTTTTAATGTAGTTCTTCCAGTCAAGAGTAACATGGAGCCCTTCCTCCCTCTGTAGAGTGAGGCAGTGGGGAACTTCCAAAGTGACAGCCCAGAGAATAGTTCTAGGACTTGGAGGGGAGGGGAGGAGGAGACAGGCTGGCAGTGGAGGAGAGAGAGGGACTGCGCACTTTCCCTGAACTTTTAAGATCAACAGAGAGGCAAGAGGATCTTCTCAGTTTTGCCTTTGTTGGGAGAAAAATCAGCCCTTTGCTGAGCCCATGGACTCTTGGCTCCACCTGGTTTCTTGGAGTTGTGTTCAACTTCCTGGGATGGGATGGGATGGGATGGGATGGGATGGGATGGGATGGGATGGGATGGGATGGGATGGGATGGGATGGGATGGGATGGGATGAGGTGGGATGAGATGGAGAAAAGAGGTGGATCTACACGCTTGTCAGGACAAGTGCTGGATTTTTTGAAATCCAATATTTGGGAGGTTGTTTCATTCAAATTTCTAATCTCCTGACCTTTGCTAGGGGAAGGACAGACAGGGGAAGGATTAGTTGCCAATAAAGGTGGGGTCTTTGATGCTTGGGGATGGCAATGGTGGTGGTGAATTCCCAGCTGGTAGAGTTCTCCCAAATTTAGTATCTTGTAGAATTGTCCCTATCAACTCAAAAAGGGTGGAGTCCTTTCCCTCTCCTCCGAGGCCTTGCACTTCCCGATTCACTTCATACCATCTCAGACTAATGTTGGAAGAACTTTAGAAGCCATCTGGTCCAAAACCTTCACTTTATAAATGAGGAAACTGAGACTCAGACTTACGCAAAGTTCCAAGGTAAGTTAGCAATAGAAAGCTGGGAATTGGGGTCCTGAGGACTCGGAGCCCATGATACCCAGGCCACTCTCCCGGACCCACTCTCCTCCATTTATTCACATATTAGTGACACCATGGAACCGAACTAGGGGATTAACACCAAGTGGACCCAGGGGATGTTGGTGGGGTCTGAACAAAATGCTGCCATCTGCGGCAGGAACACAGAGTGGGCGGAAAGGGGAGGAGCTGGGGGTGTGGTGTAGTGTGCCCCAACACCTGCCCACCGCAGATGAACTGGTCCCACTTTTTCTCACAGCCAAGACACTCCCTCCTATTTTACACTCCACAGCCTACTGGTAACCCACCCCTAATAGAGATTTACGCTTCAACGGAAACATTCCCAGCCCTGTCTGCCCTAGTCTACCTCCTGTCGGCCCCTCTGAGGAGGAGCCCTAGCATCCCTACTCACCCAGGACCCTTCCCTCCTCAAGTCCCCAGCCCCTAGCCCTTCCTCCATTCCCGCCCCTCGCCCCGGTAACCCAGAGAAATAGCCCAGCCTGACCCGGATTAGCGCTTCCAGCGCCGCTCTGTCCAGACACGTGTAGTTGTGAATGAGCGCCCACTTTGCTTGCAGGGACGCCTCCTCGTAGTCCGGTGCGGCGCTGCTCTCCAGTGCCTGGAACACGCTCGTGCCCAACGCCAGGTAAGCCAGGTAGCAGCATAGGAGCAGTGGCGTCCCTGGCATCACGCGGCGTCGCCCCCAGTCCGGCGCACGCTCCCTGACCCTCGGCTTTTGCATAACCTTCTTCACGGACTCGGGGACAGCCTGGTCTCGCTGTCCTAACATGCTTGGGCAGAGTCCTCCGGGGCTTAGGCCGGGGAAAAGGGAGGGAAGGGTCTGGGGTCGTCTTGATCCTAGAAGGCCGGGGGAGAGGGATGGACTCAATTCTAGGAGCGGTCAGGAGCCGGAGCAGGGAAGGGAAGGGGCTCCGGGTAGACCAGCTAGTTCCCTGCCTAGAAAGTGCCTGCAGTTTTGTTCTGTCGGGTCCTGGGCTCCCTAGGGGAATATGAGCCGGCTCCAGCGCCCCACCCCGAACAAGGATCCAATCCCCAGCCCCCAAGAGAATACGGAGCCCCTGGTATCTAGGGCTTATGGCCCTCCTCTCCGCTATTTACCGCCTCCCCCCTACCCTCAGTCCCAGTGCAGAATAAGCAGCCTGTGTGATCAGATTGAAGTCCCCAGAGACTGGGAAAAAGCTGGAAGAAGAAGAAGGGAACACAGGAAGAGGGAGGGAGAAGGGCAAGGATTAAAAAGGTCAGAGTAAGAGGACCAGAGGGGTAGAGGAAGGGGTGGGGCAGAGCTGGGGAGAGACTAGTGGGAGAAGGACTCAGAGCCCCTATTATCTCGAGCAACAAAATGCAGTCAAAGCCCACAGAAACTTCACACAGGAAGAAAAAGAGGCCTAGTTTATTCACCTAGGCCCATGACTGCTGTCTAACTGGCCTTTTTGGATCCTACCAACCCATTTTCCGGGGCCTCCATCTCCACTCCCAGAGTATTAGGCACGGGGTGAGGATCATTGTTAGAACCCGAGAGAAATTGAGGAAATTGCCCAGACTGAGACTTTTCAGTCAATAAGGGACCACTGTAGGTCATTTCAGCCTACCCTCTGCTTCCAAATGTTGCACCTAGTTTTCTACCAGCCATTGAGGCTGTGTGGATTGGGGGAAGCCCATCCTTTATTTTTCCAGTCTGATACCTCCCTCTCCCATTCTGGGATCACTTACCCTTCATCTTCTGAAAGTTCTTTATGTCAATTTGTCACCTCTTATGTACCAGATTACTTCCTCTTCTTTAATCGGTAAAGATGTGATTATGTTCTTGTTCCAGCCCTCCCCCTCACCTCTTTTATGCTAATAGCTGTGAGATTAGTTGGACATTTGCTGACTGATGGGAGGTTGGGGAGACAGTTGCTGGGGAGACACTGCCCTCCTGAAGACACACTGTTAAAAGGGATAGAGGTGTAGGCAGTATGTCTCATCTGCCTAAGGCATTAAAAATGGCAAGATAAGGGGCACCCACATGCTGCCCCTCTCTGTTTACTGTTCTCTGTTTACCAGCAGGCCTTTGGGGGAGAGCACAGCAATATTTGGGGACCCCTGGTCTTGTCCATCCCTCTACCCTTCAGACTAACTGACTCCTATCCCAGGCTTAAGACCATCCTTAGAACATCTTCCCATCCTGTTCCATGGGAAGGCAAACTTTAGAGGTTCCCCAGAACTCGTCTGAATTGTTTCCTGCGGTCATGTGGATTGCCTGCTTATAGAAGAGCATTATTTAGAAAGAGTCTTATCATGTCATGATCTGTGAGAGCATGTATTTAAACAAGGCACGGAAAGGAAAGAACACAGATGCAGGTATAGGGCATGGGAAAAATGGAAACATATCCAGAAGGGTGACTGGTCCCTGGAAGAAGCCTAGCTGTAGTGTCTAGGACTCAGAAGCTGTATTTGTGAACGGTACTCCATTCTTCAGGGCATGACTTCTCTAGCCCCAGTCCGTTGGGAGGGGCAGGCAATAGCATCTAGGTAACTATTGTCTTGTGCACACACACACTTCTACCATTTCTACATTGTACATTTCCCCCAAGAATGGGGAAACATGGCAGAGGGTGTTATCTCTTTGGACAGCCCTCCTGAATCATGAAAGCCTAAATGATGGGCATTAGGAAGGAGCAGAGCACCTGAATTTCAGGTTTGTCTGGTGGTAAGGTCACTATTGTGGATTTTGTTGGTGCGCTACGGTGAGAAGGTCTGTGGTCTCTTCTGTGAGTCAATCAGTTTCCTAGAGGCTTGGGGTGAGGGTCATTAAAATGGGAGGCTGAATTCTAGACATGAACCTAGAGGGAATAAAGAGAGGGACAAGTGAATCTGGAGTAAGCGTGTGTCTCTTATTCTGTGCCTTTCTGTTTGTCTTTTTTTCCTTTGGTCTCCATTATTCATTTACCTGAATGTTTTAGACTTCTTTCCTCTTTTTTGGAGAGCCCTGGGGGAATGACCCAGAAGAGAAGGATACGGAGAGGGTGACCAGGTCAGGGAGAAGAAAAACTAGGATAACGTAAAGGGATTGTGTTTACTACAGGTAATCTATGTGGGGGCTGAAAGGCAAGAGAAACAGGCTGGTATGTAGGTTAGGACTGCTCCATGAACTCATATGGCTATAGGGAGCTTGGTGGTGTGAGAAAGCCCATCTGCCTCAGGAGTTATTCCCTTCTTAGAACTTGGATCCTTGTTCAGTGGCCAGAGGTGCATGAATTGGTGCAGGACCATGGGGCCCAGAGGTAGCATGAGAGCTAGCCAGGCCAGGCCCAGGATGATCCAGACGGCAGCTAGACTCCTGTACACAGAGATGTAGTGCTTGTCAGGGTCTGTGCCTGGGAGAAAAGAACAGAGGGGATCCTGTGTTACGGTCACTCTATAGGTCCTGGTCTCCACAGTCATACACATCTGGCTTACAATGATCTTCCCAGATGTTCTACCATGGCTTCATGATATACAACACCTAGAGGACCCTAGCTTCTGAGGCTGTGTGGGGAGAATCTTTTCTTTCTCCCAGAGCCACTGAGAACCCCATTAACTCAGGCCAGATCCGGCTCTCAGTTTTACAGGAAAGGCCTTGGAGATTAGCTAGGGGTGGAGGGAAGAGTAGGGATGGACAAGGACTAGAGACTTCTTGATATTAACAATAATAATAACTCACATTTAGATAGTGCCTTAAGGGGTTTCCTCAGAACTACCCTGTGAGGTAGGTAGTGTAAGGTTTTTTTTTTTCCCCCTTTAAACCTCAGGAAGAGTTTTAAGGAAATGGAAACAATGAAGTCACTTGCCCATGGTCACACAGCTTTTAAATGGTTGAGGCTAGATTTGAATCCAGGTCAACCTGACCTGGAGTCTAGTGCTCTATCCACTGTGCCACCTAGCTTCTTCCACATTACTAAGAATTTATAGGTGCCTCACAAGTCATGTACCCCTCTCCCTCAAAAAGTCTTGATGGGGCTGAATCCCTTGTTCCCAGCCTTCTAGCTCCATTATCCCCCTCCCCTCAACCCCCAGGTCCTCTAGCTCCTGATGCCCTGGCCCTTAAAGTGCCCCTCTTCCTTATGCCCCATTCCCATACATCTCCCTTACCTACAACATAGTCCCCAAAGCCAATAGTGCTGAGGGTGATGAAGGCAAAATAGAAGCCCTCACCATAGCTCCAGCCCTCCACGTGGCTGAAGACCATGGGGGGAAGGATGAGGAGGAGAAAGGTTCCCACAGTCAGGAACAGAGCAAGGCCCAGGGTCTGTACCACCTAAAAGAGACAGAAAACTGATGGAGTAGCTCCCATGGCTCCAGGATGACTTCAGGGAGTCCTGGGGCCACTTCCTCCATCAAGGAAAACAAGAGGAGGCTGGGCCTCCTCTGCCCAGCAGCTTCTCTGGGGATATTTGGCATGCATTTGCCAAATCCCATGCTATCCCATGCCAATTGCAGATTTTGGAGAACTCTTGGGATTTGGGGATAATGCTCCAACAAGTATTCTGATCTTTTACATGAAGAAACAACTCAAACTAAGTTGGGTTTGAGGAAGGGGATCACCTACAGACAATACTTGTCCCTCCCTCCTCATTCCTGGGAGAGCATGTGAGGTCAATCCAAGGGAAGGACATTGGCTTCACTGAGGGATGATGGAAGGACTGGGGCCAAGTTGTAATGGGAATGTGGTTGTATTTTGGGAATAGGGCAGGGATCATAAGGAGGAAGGGCGTGATTGAGAGCCAGGAGATGTAGGGGTTGAAGAGAAGCTTTTGCTGTGCTAGGACTACAGTGAGGAGTGGAGAAGGAGTCATAGGATGAGGAGAGGTGGTACCTGATAGTGTCTTGGTTGATGCCCCCAAGTGTCCATTGTGGCTAGGTGAGACCTTAGTCCCGTACCCAGATGATTGAGAAACACCACATTGAGTGGGATCCCAAACAGGGCATAAAAGATGCAGAAAATCTGACCTGCTTCTGTGCTGGGGGACAGGTTTCCATAGCCTGGAGAGGGGGAGAGGATTGGGAAGTCGGATAAGTGGTGAGGCTTATATCAAGTGCAGATTTCAGAATGTGTATGTCTATGCCTTACAACCTTCCCCTCAACACCCAACAACCTATTGGCAAAATAGAAATCAGGAGTTCCCTTGTTGAGTAGTGACTGATTTGAAGACAGTGGGTAGGTGGGGGGATGGAGGTAGGAGGAATGACTAGTGTTGAAAGCCTGTACAGAGGAGACCTAGGGGTTTTCAGAATGGAGAAGGCCAGAATAGGGGAGTCTAGCCTTCTTCCCTTCCCCCCTCCCCCCAACTCCCCATTACCTATGGTGGTGACAACCGTCCCTGCAAAGAAAAAGCTGTTGCTGAAGTCCCAGTTGCTAGGGTTGGTGGAGTTGCCAGCTGGGTTCACACCTTTCTCCCAGGCTTCCATAATGACCTATGCCAAGAATGAAGTATTGGGGTATGCGGAGCATGGAGACATTGGGTAGTCAAGAAGAAGGAGAGACAGGGTTAGGTGGAGGGTGTTTATATTACAAAATGATCTGGGAAGGAAGGGATACAAAGTCTGGGAAGGTAAGGCATCATGGAGTTGTCAGAGTGGTAGGAAGGGTTTCCATTAAAATGGAATCACAGGGAGCAGCTAGGTGGTACAGTGGATAGAGCATCAGTCCTAGAGTCAGGAGGACCTGAGTTCAAATCCATCCTCGGACACTTACTAGCTATGTGACCCTGGGCAAGTCACTTAATCCTGTTTGCCTCAGTTTCCTCATCTGTAAAATGAGCTGGAGAAGGAAATGGCAAACTGTCACTCCAGGAATCATGGAACGTTAGAGCTAGAAGGGACCTTAGAGGACATTTAGTCCTACCCCCTCCATTATACAGAGGAGGAAATTGAGACCCAAAGAGACAAAATGATGTGGCCAACTTCACGCATACAATAAGGTACCTCTTAAACCCAGGTCCTCCAAGGACAGTGTTCCTTTGTCCTTGGAGACATGGGAACATTCAAAGGAAGGCTATGGTCTTACACACATGGGGTGTCAAAAAATAAGAAAGGCCTCCTTCTGGTTGGTTTTCTGGAGGTGGTGAGGCAAGGGGGTGGACAATATAGCCCGGGGCATCCCTCGTGTTTCTGTGTGACCTGATAGTTCTATTCTCTAGGGTCTTCTAGCAGACCAGATTCTAAGCCAGCAGAGGGTGCACATGCATGGCCTTCTCTGCTGAGGGCTGGCAGATGGGTTCCACTCCTTGTCCCCTCTTGCCTTAATGGTGATTTGGAGCTCCTTAGGCAGAGATTACTGCAGCGTGCTAGGCTTTCTTAGCCTCTGTGTGTGTGTGTGTGTGTGTGTGTGTGTGTGTAGTGGGAATAGTTACAGCTTTCCCTAGACTTAGCTTCCCATGAGAAATGTTCCCCAGCAGGCTGACTCTGTGAGTTCAAGCCTAGTGGGGGTAGAGCGGTGGCCTGGCCAGAGGGACTTTGTCATAAGACACCATCTGCTTTTCCTCAGTCTGACAGGCTAGAGTCCCTGAAAAGACCCAAACTTTGTCCTTACTCCCTTTCCCATAAACCTCATGGCAAAGGACCTTAACCCTTTAGATCAAAACAGTCAACACCCTGCTGGCAGATAGAGGTGGCAGTCTTTGGTCATCTTCGGTGTTTTTTTTTAATCATTATTCTTTTAAATTAAGAAACAGTCATTTTAAAAGCTGGGATTTATTAGACTGGAGAAGAAAAGGCTGGGGGGAAGAAGGTATTTAATACCTCTAAAGGGTCCTTGCAACTTGGGACCAGGACCTTTATCCCTAATGGGTGCACAGGGGTGGTGGTGATGGGGAGGGTATAGACTTCACTTGGATCAGCAAGGAATAAGATCATTTCACTCTCGGTGAGGGGCATTGAATGAGAGAATGAGTGCCTCAAAGAGGAAGGGGCATTTTCTTTTCAAGAGGTCTCTAAGACCAGGAGGTGCCCATCCCTCTGCTCAGGTGCCTATGTTTGGGATAGCTGCAGACCAGCTTAGAGGCAATGGGGGAAGGATGAGAAACACTGCCTTTGTCCCTTAAATATTAACTCTCTGGAAGACTTTTATAAAGATGATGTAAGTGGAAGCAAGAAAACACTATACACTCTTCCTTATGGTGAGGTAAATGGAAAAGACAAAAACAGTAATAACAAAATAACGCTTTGTAATTGCAATGATCAAGGTTGGTCCTAAAGAACAGCAGAAAAATGCACCTTCTTCCCTTCTTTGAAGACTGTGGAGTCAGACTCAGCCTGTGTATTGATTCATTTTTCCAAAATGCTTTTTTCCCCCCTTTCCTTTTTATTCTTTATTATAAGGGATGTCTGACTGGGCAAGGGAGGAGGAGGGATGTATCTGGAAATGAAGGTCATGTAGCAGCAAAAGAAATAAGAATTGGGTGTGTAAAAAAAAATCTCATTCTCACGAGAGCTGGTCCAGAGGAACAAGGGACTGGCATTTTGGGGGGCTTTTGTACAGGTGGGGAAATGGGATGGATTCATTCATAAGTCACTTAGTTGAGGACCTGTCCCAGGGAGTCAGTGATAGAGGGGGTAGGTAGCAGCTTTCAGGTGATCATGGATTCCTGGTCTTGGTGCTCTATCAGAAAAGCTTCCTAATGATGGTGATCAACACTCTCCTGGTATCATGGAAGCTGCTTTGTGCTTCCCACTCATAATAGGACTTTAACCATTAGGACCTCACTGTGGTTCAAACCCTCAGGAGCATGAGTGATAGACCACAAGAAAGAATTGCTCCCAGTCCTAATCAGACTACCTCTAACACTCCCTCTGGGAATTTAGTCTCAAATGGATTCGCTGTTCATCTTACTTTATAGTAAGATAAACTTCCATGGGACACACCAAAAAAATTATCGTCACAGCTGAGAGGCAGTGTAATATTCAAACCCTGCCTCCGGGAATTACTAGCTATGTATCCAAGGGCAAGGACTACATCTCCTTGTGCCTCCGTTTCTATAGTGTTTAAAATTAAGGTAATTCCTATAGCTGACCACTGGAGAAATTGGGAGGTTCAAAGGAGACAATATATGGAAATCTTAATGGTGTATTATTATTAATTTATAAGTTCCCTGCTGGCATAGGAGGACAAGAGATGCTGGTGGTGGTGGTGGTGGTGGTGGTGGTGTATATGTGTGTGTGTGTGTGTGTGTGTGTTTGCTCCTAGGAGCACAGGGTCTTCTAAGGATCCTGGGAACATTCCCTTGCCTCCAGGCCAAACTATTTCTAACTGGTGATTTCACAGCTTCTCTTAGATCATTCTAGTGATTAGTGAGACACAGTGTGGCAAACTGGATAAAGAGCCAGGAAGATCTTGGTTCAAATCCCAACTTTGACACGTGGTAACTGAGTGACCCTGGGCAAGGCATTTAGCCTCTCAGTGTTCTAGGCAACTCTCTAAGACTCCTGAGGTGGAAAAAGTAACTCCCCTCCTCCATCCCTCAATGTCCTGAGGACGTTTTCTTAGGCAGGCATTCATTCCATAAACCAAAGAAATCCTAGGCTATTCCTCTACCCACTCCCTGTGATCAGAAGGTTTTATGTCTAGGTGTCTAATATGCACCTTGTGGGTTTTTAGAAGGGGGAAAACTCTAATTCGGTGGAAAAGGCATCGTAGTAGGAAGGAAATAAGCATTTATTAAGCACCAGGCACTGTGTTAAGTGCTCAATAAATATCTTATTTAATCTTCACAACTTTGAGAGGTAGATGATATTATCCCCATTTTGTAGTTGAGGAAATTGAGGCAGATAGAAATTGTGACTTATCCAGGGTTACAGCAGCTAGTATATCTATGACTCTGGTTAGCACATATAAACTGGTAATCCAGAGGGACCTAACCATCTGCCAGCTGCTACTGTTGTGTGTGTACCACCGGGTGTCATGATAACAGGCTTGGGTCAATGAATAACTGGAATGGTAAATGTGTATATATGTATGTATAAATATATATGTATGTATATATGTGTGTGTGTGTGTGTGTGTGTGTGTGTGTATACATATGTATATATAAAAATGTGTATATGTATCACATAGCCCACAAACTCATACAGAGTTCTGCTCATGCTGTCCAATAAATGAAAAGGCTTGAATGCCTGTAATCTAACCAGAGCCTTCCTGCTGCAGACTAGTTCTGCTCCTGTTCAGAAGGACTAGTATGTCTCCACTTCGAAATGCTTTCCATATCCTCTGGCTTCTCTATTTCACCTTCTGTTCTGGGGAGGACACCTTCTAAGTCTCCATGCCCTTTCCTTTGTTTAGATCCTTTGTATCTTAGTCTTACAAAGACTGGGAGTTAGTGATCCCAATTTTTGACTGGCAGAGTCTGGAGGCGGGGAGGAAACACGGCTAGATTCTGAGGCAGGAGGCTCTAGAAACAGCTATTCCCTGGAGGAAAGGGACCTAGGCTTGGCTCTCAGACTCTTTAGCAAGCTCTCCTCAAGGAACACATGGGCCAGTCTTATTTTAAATCCCCTCTTATTTGCACTCTTCTGTGTGACCTTGGACAAATAACTTCCCCTCTGTGGGTCTCAGTTGCCCTCTCCCTCTCCCCACCCCCATCAAACTAAAATGATAACTAAGGGATCAGATAATCTCCCAGGACCCTTCCAGCTCTAAATACAAGTGGCTACAATTTTACAATTGTTAACCCTGCTTTCTAATCATTCTTAAGTCATTTCATCCTTTGATCATTTCAGATCATTTGAATATGATCTGTCCTCCCCAACTCAAGGGCAGAGACCATATCCTCCTGCCACAGAAGCCACGACAGGTCTCTATATATCAAATCCTTTCCTTACCACCTGACCCATCCCCATGAGACTATGTATTGTTTGGACCAGGGATGCTCAGAATCTATGCAGAGTAACCAAAGAGGTGTATTGTAGGGGAGGGGCGTTGGGGTGGGGGTGGGATTGAATAGAGGAGCTCACTCATCAAAACAGCTTCCTTGCTTGGGTTTAGTCACTGCAGGGGTTTGGACAACCACTGCCATCTGATGTTCCTGAACTTGAAACTTCAGGCCCTTCCCATTGGAGGAGGATCTGATGATAGCTGTTATGGACATTTAATTGTGTGGCACAACTGTTGTCCAGCCCCTGGCATTATAACTCAGCTGGAGGAAGATCAAGGAGCAGAGGCTTCAGGGACCAGTGGGCCAGAAGAATTGGGCAGGGTTACGCTTAATGCTTTCCCCCACTTCTGTTTCTCTGTCCCTGACTCTCAGACTTCCCCAAAGTCATCCAAGTCCAGCCTCTCCTTCTCCAGCCTCCACTTCTGACCTCCCCCGTCCCAATCCAAGTCCTGTCATTCCACCTCTCCCATCTCCTTCCTTCCCAGCCCAGCCCCACCTCCCTATATCACCTGCACAAAACGTTCCAGGGCATACTGGTCCAGGCAGGTGTAGTTTTCTAGAAAGCGTAGCTTCTCCATCTGGAATTGGTTTCGAGACTGAGCTTCTGCTTGCTTTTCTAGCAGCTGGAAGATGGCAGCACCCAGCAGCAGGTAGCAGAGATAGGCCAGCAGCAATGACAAAGTCCAGCTGCACACCGCCAGTCAAAGAGCCCTGAGCCAGCCATGTCTCTGGCCATGGAGTTGGGGTGGGGGCTACAGCGCACTGGAGGAGAAGGCACTCTCTCTGCTGAGCACTTACCTTTTTCCTGGCCCTACTGGGCAGGGCGCCCCTCAAGCACTGGTGCTTCCCCACCACAGCTGGCTGGGCTGGGGAGTCTGTTTGAACAGTGCAGTACAGTTCAGCCCTGCTGCTCAAAGTGCCATGAATGCAAACAGGTCTGACGTGCCCTGATCTGGATGGCCTTCCATGAGGAACAGGACGAGAGACTGTGCTCCACTGAAGTCATTCTGCCCTTTCCTCTCCCACAGAGTAGAATGAGAGTGGTCTCATTACTTCTTCCACCAAAGGCAGGTTTAGCCTTAGGTTCCTGCATCAGCTCCATGGCTTTTCTTCATCCTTCAGACACTAAAAACATGGGTCCTTTGAGCCCCAAGCCATAGGAATTTGGGGGAAATCAGAACTGGTATGGACTTTCACCATACTCAGTTCCCCTCACTGTGAAATGGGGTGAAAAGAACAGACCCATCTGCCAGGGGCAACACACAGATGTAGGGGACAGGTGAAAAGACTATATAGGTAGAGGGAAATTAAGGATGATTTGATTAATCTGAGTGACAAATCAGAGCAAAGCAAGCATAAAGCCGACTGTAGTATACAGGGATAGTGATGATACGAACATCTAGGACATCTGACCAGTTTGATAGAAGTTTTCACTTTTCATAGCTCTCTCTCCTGTGACCCTTCATTGATATCTTTTGTTTTTACATCTGCCACATTGCTCAATAAATTCCTTCCCTGGCTCCTCCCAGAGAGCTGCCCCTTAAAGAAAAGAACTAAAAAGATGGAAGAAAACCCAGTTTCCCCAAACTAAACAATACATTAACCAAGTTGGACATTATATGCAAACCACCTACTTTGAAGGTGAGGGGGAGAATTAGATAATGAGGCCCAGCTTTGCTAGGTGAAATGTCAAAAATGCCAAATCCGTTTTGCCCCCATTCCTCTGCCACTTTTAATGTTTTTCCCTGGGAAGTGGGGAGGGAAGCCCTGTTTTCTGGGGGTCATCCTGTCCATCCCTCGGTCTCCAAGCAGAACATGACAGGATGATGACCATTGGTTGTCTGTCTCCACCAGAGACAACACAAGAGGAAAATATCACCTGCTGGTGTGTTTTAGGTGGGGTTCCACCCGGTGAATCCTCTCTGTTGCAGGAATGTTTAAAATAGAGAACATAAGATTCAAGGGAGACACGGATAGCTAGCTGTCTTCAGATATTTGCAGGGCTGTCATGTGAAAAGGGATAAACTTTTTCTGTTTGGCTCCAGAGAGAAGAACATGGAGCAGTCAGTGGAGTTGTAAAGAGGTACATTTAAGCCTCAGGTCACAATGATAGAGAGGCCATCTTGGGGTGTGGTAGAGAGAATGCCACCGTTATGTATCATCCTAGGTTGCCACAGTGCTGCATTTGGGCAAAGAAGTAAAACTCGTCAGGAAACTATGTCTTTAGTCTCTCACCTCTCCTATTAGTAGCCTGGTACTATTTCCTCATTTCCCCTCCAGCCTTTTCCTATTCCACGTTCCAAGTCTTACAGGGTCCTGTCCTCAGACAGCTATCAAGACAAAATTGTTAACTGCCATCTAAGCTGTGCGCCATGGGCTTAAGCTTTATCCCTCTTAGGGGTAGATGATCTATTTCCTTACATACAACTTCTGCTCTTTCCCCCTCCCCCACTGCATTCACACATGCCCATACAACCCCATACCCATTGCCCTATAGCCACACTCCATACGAACCCCCTGGTATACCCATGTTTGGCGCTGGAGAGGCCAGGCACTAGAAACTAAGAATGGAAAGACTGATTTTTGGTTTGGCTTTTTTACTTGACTGGTGACAGAATGGTGAGAGACACCCACCTGAAGAAATGCTCACTTAGATGCTTGAATGAATGCACATTTAAGAGAGGCAGTTGAAGACTAAAATCTCCCCAAAGTGTAAGGAATAATGTTAGGAAGGTTCATGTTTTAGGCCAGTGGAGGGCTGCTTAGGGTCCCCTTGGATTACATCATTTAGTCAACCACGTAATCCATCTATGTATAAATTTGGCCTTTTTTTTTTTTTTTTGGCCATGTCAGCAAAAATCCTCTATAGACTTGGTAAAGTTTGGTTAAGAGTTCATCATTCTTCCCTACATTATTCCTCTCTCACTAGCCATTCATTTCAAGAAGGTGACCGCCACGGCTAAGATGGACAGACAGAATGCATGATTTACTATCTCCTGAATGGGTAGTTATTGCCCTTAACGAGAAGAGCTAACCTGTGCTTCCCAAGGGTGGGGGCCAAAATCAATTAATGGAAAGTTTAACATGGCTGATCCTATTGGTGGAGCTTGATCTGACATCTGGAGATGATAAAGGATTTTTTGAGGCTGAACTAATTAGGAAGTTGGAGGAAAAGAGGGAAAAACAACCTCCCAAATCGATTGGGTGTACCATGTAGAGAGAGAATACTGAGTAAACACAGCATGGAGGAGGCTCTTTCCATCTGAATAACTCCTGAGATAAGGAAAAGGACAAATCGCTTACTCACCTATCTGACATTGGTATTCTCCCATGGATTGATCCAAATAAATATAGATCCACATATATGGTGGGGGAAGCACATTTTCTTAAACTGTAACCAATGAGTCAGGATAGGTACTACTTCTCTACAATGCTCTTTATTGCCGTCTACTTCTGGGGAGAGGACAAACCAGGGGAGGAACAGGGTCATAGGAGCATAGATTTAGGGTTGGAAGGGACCTTAGAGGTCACTGAGCCCACCACCCTCAAATGAGATAACACATGGAAAGTATTTTGCAAATCTTAAACACTACTTAAATGCTAGCTATTACTATTAATATTACAGATGAGGAAAGTGAGGCATGGAGTTAAATGAGTTCCCTAAGTTAATAGCTAGTAAGCATTTGAGGTAGGATTTGAACTCAGATCTTCTTCTCTTAAGTCTAGTGCCTGATCCACTATGCCATGCTGCTGGGCCCCATAAACTCAGAGGGGGCAGAGATTAAAGATGACTCCCAAAAGAGTTTGATAAAAGATGTTGGAAGGTGGTTTCTTATAGGTTCTGAAGGTCTTCTAAAATGAAGAGGGGCCTTCATGCTTTTCTACAGATGGAAAATGGAATAATGTCTCCAGGTCCCTACCAACCTAAGGAGCTAGATTCTTCATGAACTTGGAGGACTTATGCTGTGTTCAGCAGAAGGGGATGGGGGAAAGTTCTGAATGGTGATTTAAAGCGAAGATTCCCCTCCCCCCCTTTATCATTTAAGTTTCTAGGAAGAACAGCACTGTTCTGTCTCATTTCTTTCCCAGTGATACTCAGTGGCTCTCTACAATCTCTGCTATGTCCCCTCCCACCTCCTGCTGTCACTAACACAGTCTCTGATTGGGTCATCAAGGACTTCCTGGTCATTTTCAACAATTTCCACACTGTTTTCTTCCTGGCTACCTGGCATTATCATTCCCTTGGCTTCAAGTTCCTGGCTTCTAAAGCACCCAGGGCCAAATACAGACCTCAGCCTTTCACAGTAGGATAGTCACTATGAGTGATCTATTATTTTCCCTTCCTATATACACATTCCCGTAGACCCCATACTGCCACTTCCTACATCCTCAACTGACACCCTCCATGCCCCCCATCACCTGGCCCAGACCTAGGTACCTACCTACAAACTATTCCCAAACAATTGTCCCTGCCCCAAGCCCATGTACCTACTCACAAAGTATTCCCAAACACTCTCCTCAATAAATTCCCACATAGCCAATCCACCTATACACACACATCACTGCTTCCACATTCCCCATACATTTCCTTACACATACTCCACACAGCTTCTACATCTCCTCATCCAGTACATTATACCCACTCTAATTTTCCCCATTCTTTCTCTCCTGTCCCACATCAGGTTACAAGGTCTATCTATGCTTCAGAAATTTCAACAGCCATTCCTATGCCTAAATTTTAAAAATATTTATGTTTACATTAATAAACCCCCACACATTTTATGTTCCTTATCACATCTAAATGGGCAGTGTGGTGTACTGCAAAGAACATTAGATGAAGGCTCAGCTGCAGCTTTAAAATCTAGTCCCAACCTTGCCATGGACTATGTAATATTAGCTGGGTATTTATTAAGTGACCACTAAGTGCAAAGCATGTCCTTTTTTGAGCCTCGGTTTTCTCTTTTGTCCAATGAGGAGGCTGTTGAGACGGCATCTCAGTTTTAGCATTCTTTTATTCTTTCTGAAAAAAGAGAGAAGGCTTGATTTCCATTAGTGGGCATTTTGGGAATGGTGCATTTTGGGATTCACTGACATGGCTTCCATAGAAATTGCCTCTCTTAAAGCTATGTTTTCACCTTCAGCAGCACAGAAGAGCTCACTTCTGGCTTTCTTTGGCCTCAAGAGGACAATTTGGTATGGGTGAATAGAACATTTTCAACTGAAACCTAGCTTGCCTCTAAATCTGGAAGACATAGAAGCTTTGAAAAGACTTTCTTACACATAAAAACCAAACAAACCCAAACCAAAACTTTGCTAGAAATTGGCCTTTAAAAAAAATCTGAGGACATCTTTTCAAAGCATTGCTTCTGTTACTTTGGAATTCCCAGGCAAATAGTCTAAGCATGATGCTTTGTCAAAGGCCCTGTGTCAGGCAGGAGGGCATGGTTTGAAGGCGGTACTTTGTTCAAGAACCATCACATGACAACCATTTGGTTGCTGCATGGGCGCCTGTGGGAGAGGAACTCTCCCAATTTGTCTTCCTTTCCTCATTTCCCCTCCTGGCTTTGCCCCAGCCTGGCTGGCTGCATGGGGGCTGCCCCATGCTTCCCTGCAAACAAGGCCTTTGGATCCAGATCATAACTGACTCCAGCTGGAGACTTGGAATCAATAGTATCTAACTAGCTCCAGTGTACACAGCCCTCTGTTGTCCGGAGAACAGACTGGGAGCGCCCAGCC